CCATGGTCTTATTATGGAAAGTAGCTCAGCCAACTGTTCTACCTTGTAGTGTTTTTTGTTTGATTGACTTAGTGTCTTGAAGCATGCAACATATGTTTATTGAACAGATGCTTTAGGAATTGTAAATCCTCTAATCATGGTCCAGAGGCAAAACGTTATCTCTCAAGTTTGAATTGGCCAGGCTTTCTAGAAGGATAAGATGATTGTTCCACTGTTAGGGCCAAAAATCGTCTTGGGCTTGACGAGGCCCAATAACGAAATAAACATGTCACGACCCAAAGCCTCAACCCAATCTCGATTGGGCTTACGCTTAAAATCACCTTGGGACCTACCCACTCTATGAGTTGGGCTATCCTATAAGTTAAGCTAAATTGGGTTTCAGCCCATTAGCCTGCAACAGTCTATAAATAGGAAATCAGAATCCCATTCTATTTCCTCTTCTACTAAGATTCCAAATCTTACTCAAACTATTAAACTTAATATGATAAGTTCAAGAAATCTTATCTTTTTTATGATAGGGATTATCTCCCACAATAGGACTTAATGTCCTACTAAGATTTCAAATCTTATTTAAACTATTAAACTTAATCTGATAAGGTCAAGAAATCATATTTCTTTCTTGATAGGGATTATCTCCCAAAAAAGAGGACTCAATGTCCTACTAGGACTCCAACCCCTTGGGTTTACTATAAAAACAGAGGCTTACCCTCTCATTAAGGGAAATCTCCGACAGTCAATCTACACTATTCAAAACCATCTATTTGCTCCTAAGTTCTTGCTCCCAAGAACCCGACGCCTCCGCCGTAGTCCTAGCCTCCGACAAGACTCCTGGTAATTCTTCTTCTCCTTAATTCTTATTAAATCTCTTTCAGCCTTGCTGACTTGAGCGTCGGAGTGCCTACGGCAAACACCACCTCGGTGTTTTCCGGAAGCTTCACGCTTGCCCTTTCATGTGTGTAGGTCTAACGGATTGTTAGTGACCTCAACCTCACGGGATCACACCCTATTTTCATGACGGTAGATTTTTTGCATCTACATCCACCACCTTCAAGTAGGCTGTAGTATGACATCGTGTCCTCAAGTTCAACAAACAATTTATTGAACTTATGAACTGCAATCTGCCTTTATTAGTTATAGTTCAGTTTCTGCTCTAATAGAAATATGAATTCGAAGGAATTAAATCACCGAGTCAATTGGCAGAGCTTACAGATGGCAATCTTAAACAATTTCATTCACTTGATATATCTGATTGCTCCATTGATGATGACAACCCAGGCTCAATCATTTCTTTAACTAGAATCAGATTTTTCGGACACAGCAACCTATAATGAATGTAAAACACATCATATTGTCAAATGCCCAAAGGCTAAACTTTTATTTTATTTTTGAAATCAATCAACCAAGTCTAAAGACCATATTACTCATTGTAGATTTTACTCAAACACATGTTAAGTTTTTGATTCATTATTAAAATTAATAACAGAATAAATCATAGAATAATTTTTGAAATTCTTTAAAGCTCAATTAAACTGAGATTAAGAGTCATGTTAAGAAATTTTTTCTAGAATGTTACGTTGATAATTTTACAGCTCTTTTTCTTTGGCATAATTTTATGATCTTGTAGCTTTTATCATGTTTGTCCTTTCTTTTCGGTGTAGATTTGCATTAATTAGATTCAATCCTAGAATGCGTCCATAATATGCTGGTGTTTTAATATGCCAAGTATATAATAAATTGTTGTTATTTCTTGTGTGACAGGTAGATAAAGATTAAAAACAGATAATGTCAGCCTCTGGCTCTTGGTCTTCTTCATAATCTAGTAGAGGTAGGATTGATATAACATAGGCACATGTTATTGAGGGTATAGATCCAAATGGAAGGAAGACATTAAAATGTCTTCACTATGGGAAAGTAACTAGAGGAGGAGGTATTTTTAGAATGAAACAACATTTAGATGGAACAAAGAGGGGTGTTGGTGCTTGTTTAAAAGTTCCTTTTGATGTTCAATACTTGATGAGAAAATCACTAAAAGACATTAGGATAAAGAATAAAGAGAAGGCTGATTCTAGTAAGTATAATACTCCATACGGTGCTCCCGTACATGGATTTGAGGGAGATATGTTAAATGAAGATAGTGAAGAGTTCCGTCCATCAGAAATTCACATAAATGAAGGTAGGTTTGGCAGTAAAAAACAAAGTACAATACTAGACAAATCAAAAAGAAAAAAACCTATTGGGGTTGGTGACTATTTTGCTCCAAGGACAATTGTTGGATCTCAACCATCAATTAGGAGTTGTTTAGCTAGAAAAGATGTGACATGGAGAGCAGACATGGCTTTTGCAAAATTCTTTTACGAATGCTTGCATCCTAATTAATGCTGTAAATTCAATTTATCTTCAGCCTTTGGTGGATGCTATAGCTGCAATTGGGTCTGGGTATAAACACCCAAATTATCATGGTTTGCGTGTCAATTTGTTAAAAGATGCTAAGAAGGAAGTGTAACTTCTTGTTGATAGTTACAGAAAGATTTGGGAAAATGTTGGATGTACCTTAATGGCTGATGGTTGGACTGATAATTCACATAGGTCATTGATCAATTTTATGGTGTATTGTCCTAAGGGACTTTGTTTTGTGAAATTAGTTGATACTTTAGATGTTGTGAAGGATGTTGAGACATTGTTGAAGATGTTTGAGGAGGTAGCTTTATGGATTGGACCAAATAGTATTGTCCATTTTGTTATAGACAATGGATCCAATTATAAAGCTGCTAGAAGAATATTGTCTAAGAAATATCCGAGTATTACTTGGTCGCCCTGTGCAGCACATAGCATAAATTTGGTGTTAAAATGCATAATTGAGATTGATCATATAGTTTATCTTGCAAGACGTGCTTCTGAGGTGACAAAGTTTGTATATAATCATACATTCTTGATAGCTTGGTTGAGGAAAAGACAGGTAATATACCTTTAGCTCATGTTCTTGTCAATCATAACATAATATGCATTTTTTATAATTGACTAACATCTATTATTTATCAATTGAACAGGGTTAGAAAGAAATTGTTCATCTGGGCGCAACCCGTTTTGCTACAACTTTCATTGCAATAAGAAGCCTTCATGAGCACAAACATGACTTGCAAGCCATGGTGACAGATAAATCATTTGTCGATTCTCGATATGCAAAAAGTAATAAAGGCAAACATGTTATTGGCATAATTCTAGATAACGATTTTTGGGATGATATAGGTAAGATATCCAAAGTTGTGAGTCCATTGATGTGCTCGTTGCAGATTGTTGACTCAGATGAGATGCCTGCAATAGGATATGTGCATGATGACATGTACAGAGCGAAAAATGCAATTAAAAAGTTGTTTAAGAATAAAAAGAGATTGTACAAGCCTTATACACGAATCATTAAACTATGCTGGGATAGGACGTTGCGCTGTGATATCTATGCTGCGGCTTATTATTTGAATCCTGCCTTTAAATATGACGAAACATCTTTTTGCTCCAAGCCAGAAGTCATGAGTGGTTTCCTTGATCCTATTGATAGTAAAGCAAGTGCGTTCAATTTGAACAAGACAAGGTTAATGGAAGAGAGTAGATTATATTCAAACCAGGAGGAAAACTTTTCTCGTGGGCTTGCTCTTGAAACCGCCAAAACCACACGTCTTGGTACATAATAGTTATAAAATTTATGAGTTCTTTTGTTTTTTAAGTCTAATTTATTTATTATGTTTAATTTTCAATTAGATGAATTGTGGAGATCATTTGGGTATAGCACTCCAAATTTGCAAAAGTTTGTAATAAAAATTCTTAGCCAAACTTCAAGCTCTTCGGGATTTGAACAAAATTGGGGCGTTTTTTAGTGCATACATAATAAAAAGAGGAATAGATTGGAGCATCAAAGGTTGAATGATCTTATTTTTGTTTACTATAACTTGTGTTTGCAAAATATGTATAAAACATTGTCAATTACTCAATTATGCATCACTCTTATTGTTATTATCTATTATTTTTCCTTGATATTTTACTTGTCATGCTTTTAATATTTCATTATGGTATTTTATGAGGTGTTACAAGAAAATAAGCTTTGATCCTATTGATTATGAAAGTATCGACAAAACTGAAGGTTGGATAGTTGACGATGAAGAGGAGATCAATGAAGTGATGAACTTAATTATGAGGAGTTGAAACAAATGTTATATGGAAAATGATTTAGGAGTTGTTGATCACCCTTCTTTTTATGATTCAACCGATGGTTCATAAGGTTGGTTTCAAATATTTAAGCAACTTAGTCTCTATTTTAAATTAAATTACAAATTTTAACTTATGATTTCTATTTTTTACTTAAATTTATGTAGATAATGGTGATGGTTATGATAATGGTGATTATGATGATGAATTTTGATGCTAGTGTGTGAAGCTCAATCAATATGAAACCAAACAAAGAAAAAACATTCGCATCAAATATTTTATTATTAATTATTATGTATTTTATCAATTTAATATGTAACAGAGAATACAACATCATGTTTAAATTTGAATTTTAGAATGTTGATAAATACTTCAATTTGGGATTTTATTAAATTTGAACTTGAAATCATATTAAACAATAATTAAATTGATATTATCTTATTAAAAAATGAAAATCTTAAAATCTAGGTATTTTTTTGCTCCAACTCATTATATTGACGTCAGCTCACCTGTCCAACCGGTTAACCCAGACAGCAGAGCGAGTTACCAACAGTGATTAAAACTTGATCCAGCCAATTTAAAAAATTCCTTTACGTTGTATAATTGTTATATGAAACTCAGTGTCATAATAATAATAGTATATCTTCGTTCCTCGTTAAACCAGGCACTAGGTATCATTTTAATAAAACCCATTAACAATATCAGTTGATATTCTCATAACCAAAAATGAAATGCACAAATGCTCATAATATGAAAAAACGAAAAATTTAACAGAATGCAATCATTCAATTAAATTTAAAATCTCTCTCAAAAAAAAAACTTGATATAAGTCTACCATTATAAAATTACTAAAATATTCAAGTTGAGACACCAAAAATAAACATTCAAAATATGAGCATATCCAGAGTTCGACACGTTTTCGGTATTAAGCTCACACTAGTCTTTTCCTACACAAGTCCAAAATACCATGCAAAAATAATTTCTTAAAAGATCCGGTTTGACGGACCCATAGTACTCTTCAGATAGAGGCACCTCACCTGTTGACATAAATAAATGTCAGTCAGAACCATTAATAATTTACATAATTAAAAAAAAAAAAAAAAACAGACAGCTTTGTTGAAGAACACAAGTTGAAATGCTCAAGTAAAACAGTGGCCAGCAAAGAGAGAAAACAACTCCTAATCAAAATCAAAAAAGGGAGAAATAGAATCTTTTAATTTATCCAAGAATAGAGTGAGATAACTCACATTTTGCCAGTTCTTCTTCAACAAGGATACTAGGAAATTAACGCTCATTTGCACATTCTGGAAGATTTGCTTCTCCTCCATGGCACAGTTTCCGACGGCAACTCCCATACAGAGCACCTTTTTCAATTGGAACTTCACTGTTGCCTTGGTCTCATTAACCTTCGACTCCAGAGATTCTTGGTGAGTAACAAGGGTAGGGAACTTTCCTGCATTTACAGATGAACCAAGGTAAAAAATATTCAAGCAACACAGAAAACAATAAAACAGCTCTGTAAGACCATTTACGCAACACTACCCACTCAAGACTCAGTAGTTATAAACTATTTGAAAATCAATTATTCAATAGCAATCTATACAAAATGTGCATTACCAGACCTGTGTGGACAAGCATGATCCAAATAACTAGGCCAAAATAAATTAATTCTCTAACTCAACAAGTCAACAACAATCGATCATTTTGACATCCCTCAAAAATTGCTTTACTACCATCGATCCTCAGAGTGATGGCTAATGTACAACCACAATTCGCATTCATTCAAAGCTATTTAACCTTTAATGTCCCTCCAGCAAGAACATAGCATCTCAATCAATATTAAATTTTTAGGAAAAAGCAACCAATATGATCAGTAAAGTAGCCAGCAAAAAACAGCAAAAAACTTCAAACCATCCTTGTACACTTGCCTGCCTTGTTAAGACCAGGTCCCAACAGACGAGGGATCTGCTTGATGACAGATTCTGATGCCAAAAAGGCATGGTACTTCTTGGCAAGCTTCTTAACAAGTTTCTTGTTCTTGTTAAGCTTTTTCAAGGCTTCAACATCCATGTAATCGAGGCCAATTTTCTCTGCCTGCAAAATATAATACAAACATTTAGATTGATGTAAAACTAAAGTGTATCGCAGAACAAGAAGCTGTTCTAAACTCTAAACTATAAGGAGGAATTGATAGATCAAGAANTGCCAACTGTTAATGTATGTTGGATCTAGACACATGGTAGGTGAGTTTCCAAAGATATTATCTACTTTGAGTCTTCCGTACGATTTTGTCTTGAAAAGACGCATCGAGGTGGTGAGCGTGTCCTTATGTTATAAGTGACCAAGGCTCTTGTCTTTTAACCGATTTGAGACTTTGGCACTAACAAATTTATTGCTACAAAATAAGTATCATTTTTGCATTTTAGCAAACTAACTATATAATTTATAGATACATCAAATGTATTATACAACAGTTATCTTTAAAGGTATAGGAAATAGTATAATACATACAGAATGTATTTTTGAAGTTATAACATTTTCCATTAGTTATTTATGTGAGAGAAAATTAATGATTTAGGAACCTATGAATATGATTGGTACTTTTTTGTAAAGTTGAATTTCTTTATTAATTAATTTACAATCTTTATTTAAATATTGTTATAGTTAGAAAATGTATGATGCATTTATGGTCGTTTATTATAAACTAGACAAGGGGCCCACGCATTGCGCAGGTATGGTTATTCAACGCTTTTGAAATAGTTTGTAAACAAATTTATTCTAACAAAAGAAACTAATTAGATTAAGACATAATAATTGTTAAATAATACAAATTTTAAAATAAATAAAAATAGTATATATAGAGAGAGTTATGTTAAGATAAAATTAATAATTATACCTATATAATTATTAATATCAATTATAGGTAGTTGTCATTAAATATTTCATCCAACTTGTTAAAATGGAGTAATTGCATTGTTTTAAAAACCGGATCGGCTGGTCGAGTCAACACTAAAACCGCCATTATGTAATAAACCGCTTTAACCCGTTTGAAAACCGGATAAAATCAGTGAACCGCCGATCAAACCGGACTGGTGGATAAACCTGTCAAAATTTTCAAAAACCCCTAACCCTACGCAATCACAGCCCATTCCATTTGATTTCCTTTCTCTGTTTCTAACTTCTTCTCTTTCTCTACGAAAATTTATCAGCTTCTTCTCTGTTCTCTAAAAAAATTTCTCTCTGAAATCCCACTCAAATCGCAATCAACTCCACTCCCTGAAGTCTGAAATCGCAACCATTCACCAAATCGCAATTGAACTCTCTAAAATCGACGACGACATCTTCCTCCCTCGCCGGAAATCGACGACGTCTTCCTCCCTCACCGGAACTCGATGATGATAGCTCCACTCCTCGCTAGAAATCGACAGCGACAGCTCCATTCCTCGATCCAGGTAATAAACATGCCATTCCTCGATCCATCTTCAATAATGATTTCGTTGCAAACTTTATCTGGAGCAATGTGTATGTGCATGTATTTCCAGATTATGTATTTGAATTCATGTGTCCTATTATATCTTAGGAAAGATTATGTTTCAAATTAGCAAAAAAGGGGTTTGAATCAGCTACATAATTTGTGGATGGGCAATTTATCATGATTTTTTGTATTTTTTTCTTCTTTTATGAGCTTAATTTCATATATGTAGTTAGCAGAACTTTTATTGATATACTTTATGTTTTACTTGAATATTTCTTTTCATGAGTTATTTTATGTACAACTATCAACTGATTTTGTGGTATGTTTGTTGCTAAATGTGTCTACAATCGATGGAACTTTATGGGATGGTATGGGATGGAATAAGGACTTATGACGACAATAAAATACTACCTCATTCTTCACAAATTCTAATTGATATATTTACTGTTCAGTTACTTGTAGCTTAATGATATTGTTGAAGCAAATACTACTTTTTTGTCAGTATCAGTATACTTATAGCATTTTTTGCATTAATTACAATAGATATTCATGTCAATTCTGTATTATATTTCACATCCATTCAATACTTTTTAGTGCTCATCTGACAGTTGGGAGCATTTTATTTTGATTTTGGAGGACCATGCTGTAAGATTTTAGTTCTTCAATTTTCATTCGATATCATCTTTGTCAACCTCGTTGGGGTAACTAAGATTTTGTTGAAACTTAGTTGAGTTGCAAATTCAATAGAACTTCATAAAATTGATTTTTGTGAGCTAGTTGCATTGCATCTGTCTTATGCCTCCTGCACATCATCTCTAACTCTTTGAAAGTAGAGAAGGATGAGAAAGGCTGAAAATTGCAGAACTTGGACAAACTGTTCTTTATCTTAGCTGAAACTCATCTTAAAATATATTCAACTTCAGATGTTTTGATTGATTGCTTACTTTCCATGTTGATCTGAATTTTGGAGATTGGTTAATTTATTTCAGGCAACAGCAAGGTGATGAAACACCTATGGTGTGGGAAATTCTCTCTCTCTCTCTCTCTCTCTCTCTCTCTCTCTCTCTCTCTCTCTCTCTCTTATTATATATCTATATATATATATATATATATATATATTATTTAATTATATTAAACTGTAATAAAACTACATTAGTTTATCTTTTCTAGAAAATGATAGGATAAACGTATCGCATCTTGAATAGTCACATTATGCTAATCAAAAGAGTAAATGAGGTTATAGATTCTATATAAGAACCAAAAGAGGTAACACCTAAATTAATGTGATTCTTTTGTTTGCAATTGTTGTATACTTCCCCATTTAACAATACGTGATTATGTGATTCTTTTGTTTGCAATTTTATTGTATGATAGGTAGATAAAGATTAAAAACAGACAATGTCAACATCTAGCTCTAGGTCTTCTTCACAATCTAGTAGAGGTAGGACTAATATAACATGGACACATGTTATTGAGGGTGTAGATCCAAATGGAAGGAAGACATTAAAATGTCTTCACTGTGGGAAAGTAACTAGAAGAGGAGGTATTTTTAGAATGAAACAGCATCTAGCTAGAACAAAAGGGAATGTTGGTGCTTGTTTAAAAGTTCCTTTTGATGTTCAATACTTGATGAGAGAATCACTAAAAGACATTGGGATAAAGAATAAAGAGAAGGCTGATTCTAGTAAGTATAATACTCTTTACGGTGCTCCCGTACATAGATTTGAGGGAGATATGTTAAATGAAGATAGTGAAGAGTTTCGTCCATCAGAAATTCACGTAAATGAAAGTAGGTTTGGTAGTCAAAAACAAATTACAATGCTACACAAATCAAAAAGAAAAAAACCTATTGGTCTTGGTGACTATTTTGCTCCAAGGACAACTATTGGATCTCAACCATCAATTAAGAGTTGTTTAGCTGGAAGAGATGCGACGTGGAGAGCAGACATGGCTTTTGCAAGATTCTTTTACGATGCTTACATCCCAGTTAATGGTGTAAATTCAATTTATCTTCAGCCTTTAGTGGATGCTATAGCTGCAATTGGGCCTGGGTATAAACACCCAAATTATCATAGTTTGCGTGTCAATTTGTTAAGAGATGCTAAGAAGGAAGTGCAGCTTCTCGTTGATAGTTACAGAAAGATTTAGGAAAATGTTGGATGTACCTTAATGGCTGATGGTTGGACTGATAATCCACATAGGTCATTGATAAATTTTATGCTGTATTGTCCTAAGGGAGTTTGTTTTGTGAAATCAGTTGATGCTTCAGATGTTGTGAAGGATGCTGGGACGTTGTTGAAGATGTTTGAAGAGATAGCTTTATGGATTGGACCAAATAGTATTGTCCATTTTGTCTCAAACAATGGATCCAATTATAAAGCTGCTGGAAGAATGTTGTCTGAGAAATATCCGAGTATTACTTGGTCGCCCTATGCAGCACATAGCATAAATTTGGTGTTAAAAGACATAGCGGAGATGGATCACATAGTTTATCTTGCGAGACGTGCTTCTGAGGTGACAAAGTTTGTATATAATCATACATTCTTGATAGCTTGGTTGAGGAAAAGACAGGTAATATACCTTTAGCTCATGTTCTTGTCATTTTGTCAAGTTATAACATAATATGCATTGTTTTTAATTGACTAACATCTATTATTTATCAATTGAACAGGGTTGGAAAGAAATTGCTCGTCTGGGCGCAACCCGTTTTGCTACAACTTTCATTGCAATGAGAAGTCTTCATGAGCACAAACATGACTTGCAAGCCATGGTGACAGATAAGTCATTTGTCAACTCTCGATATGCAAAAAGTAATAAAGGCAAACAGGCTATTGACATAATTCTAGATAACGATTTTTGGAATGATATGGATAAGATATCCAAAGTTGTGAGGCCATTGATGCGCTTGTTGTGGATTGTTGACTCCGATGAGATGCCTGCAATAGGATATGTGCATGATGACATGTACAGAGCGAAAAATGCAATTAAAAAGTTGTTTAAGAATAAAAAGAGATTGTACAAGCCTTATACACGAATCATTAAACTATGCTGGGATAGGACGTTGCGCTGTGATATCTATGCTGCGGCTTATTATTTGAATCCTGCCTTTAAATATGACGAAACATCTTTTTGCTCCAAGCCAGAAGTCATGAGTGGTTTCCTTGATCCTATTGATAGTAAAGCAAGTGCGTTCAATTTGAACAAGACAAGGTTAATGGAAGAGAGTAGATTATATTCAAACCAGGAGGAAAACTTTTCTCGTGGGCTTGCTCTTGAAACCGCCAAAACCACACGTCTTGGTACATAATAGTTATAAAATTTATGAGTTCTTTTGTTTTTTAAGTCTAATTTATTTATTATGTTTAATTTTCAATTAGATGAATTGTGGAGATCATTTGGGTATAGCACTCCAAATTTGCAAAAGTTTGTAATAAAAATTCTTAGCCAAACTTCAAGCTCTTCGGGATTTGAACAAAATTGGGGCGTTTTTTAGTGCATACATAATAAAAAGAGGAATAGATTGGAGCATCAAAGGTTGAATGATCTTATTTTTGTTTACTATAACTTGTGTTTGCAAAATATGTATAAAACATTGTCAATTACTCAATTATGCATCACTCTTATTGTTATTATCTATTATTTTTCCTTGATATTTTACTTGTCATGCTTTTAATATTTCATTATGGTATTTTATGAGGTGTTACAAGAAAATAAGCTTTGATCCTATTGATTATGAAAGTATCGACAAAACTGAAGGTTGGATAGTTGACGATGAAGAGGAGATCAATGAAGTGATGAACTTAATTATGAGGAGTTGAAACAAATGTTATATGGAAAATGATTTAGGAGTTGTTGATCACCCTTCTTTTTATGATTCAACCGATGGTTCATAAGGTTGGTTTCAAATATTTAAGCAACTTAGTCTCTATTTTAAATTAAATTACAAATTTTAACTTATGATTTCTATTTTTTACTTAAATTTATGTAGATAATGGTGATGGTTATGATAATGGTGATTATGATGATGAATTTTGATGCTAGTGTGTGAAGCTCAATCAATATGAAACCAAACAAAGAAAAAACATTCGCATCAAATATTTTATTATTAATTATTATGTATTTTATCAATTTAATATGTAACAGAGAATACAACATCATGTTTAAATTTGAATTTTAGAATGTTGATAAATACTTCAATTTGGGATTTTATTAAATTTGAACTTGAAATCATATTAAACAATAATTAAATTGATATTATCTTATTAAAAAATGAAAATCTTAAAATCTAGGTATTTTTTTGCTCCAACTCATTATATTGACGTCAGCTCACCTGTCCAACCGGTTAACCCAGACAGCAGAGCGAGTTACCAACAGTGATTAAAACTTGATCCAGCCAATTTAAAAAATTCCTTTACGTTGTATAATTGTTATATGAAACTCAGTGTCATAATAATAATAGTATATCTTCGTTCCTCGTTAAACCAGGCACTAGGTATCATTTTAATAAAACCCATTAACAATATCAGTTGATATTCTCATAACCAAAAATGAAATGCACAAATGCTCATAATATGAAAAAACGAAAAATTTAACAGAATGCAATCATTCAATTAAATTTAAAATCTCTCTCAAAAAAAAAACTTGATATAAGTCTACCATTATAAAATTACTAAAATATTCAAGTTGAGACACCAAAAATAAACATTCAAAATATGAGCATATCCAGAGTTCGACACGTTTTCGGTATTAAGCTCACACTAGTCTTTTCCTACACAAGTCCAAAATACCATGCAAAAATAATTTCTTAAAAGATCCGGTTTGACGGACCCATAGTACTCTTCAGATAGAGGCACCTCACCTGTTGACATAAATAAATGTCAGTCAGAACCATTAATAATTTACATAATTAAAAAAAAAAAAAAAAACAGACAGCTTTGTTGAAGAACACAAGTTGAAATGCTCAAGTAAAACAGTGGCCAGCAAAGAGAGAAAACAACTCCTAATCAAAATCAAAAAAGGGAGAAATAGAATCTTTTAATTTATCCAAGAATAGAGTGAGATAACTCACATTTTGCCAGTTCTTCTTCAACAAGGATACTAGGAAATTAACGCTCATTTGCACATTCTGGAAGATTTGCTTCTCCTCCATGGCACAGTTTCCGACGGCAACTCCCATACAGAGCACCTTTTTCAATTGGAACTTCACTGTTGCCTTGGTCTCATTAACCTTCGACTCCAGAGATTCTTGGTGAGTAACAAGGGTAGGGAACTTTCCTGCATTTACAGATGAACCAAGGTAAAAAATATTCAAGCAACACAGAAAACAATAAAACAGCTCTGTAAGACCATTTACGCAACACTACCCACTCAAGACTCAGTAGTTATAAACTATTTGAAAATCAATTATTCAATAGCAATCTATACAAAATGTGCATTACCAGACCTGTGTGGACAAGCATGATCCAAATAACTAGGCCAAAATAAATTAATTCTCTAACTCAACAAGTCAACAACAATCGATCATTTTGACATCCCTCAAAAATTGCTTTACTACCATCGATCCTCAGAGTGATGGCTAATGTACAACCACAATTCGCATTCATTCAAAGCTATTTAACCTTTAATGTCCCTCCAGCAAGAACATAGCATCTCAATCAATATTAAATTTTTAGGAAAAAGCAACCAATATGATCAGTAAAGTAGCCAGCAAAAAACAGCAAAAAACTTCAAACCATCCTTGTACACTTGCCTGCCTTGTTAAGACCAGGTCCCAACAGACGAGGGATCTGCTTGATGACAGATTCTGATGCCAAAAAGGCATGGTACTTCTTGGCAAGCTTCTTAACAAGTTTCTTGTTCTTGTTAAGCTTTTTCAAGGCTTCAACATCCATGTAATCGAGGCCAATTTTCTCTGCCTGCAAAATATAATACAAACATTTAGATTGATGTAAAACTAAAGTGTATCGCAGAACAAGAAGCTGTTCTAAACTCTAAACTATAAGGAGGAATTGATAGATCAAGAAGAAGCCATAACATGTTAAACCATGTAAGCAGTCAGATGAGGCATTGTAATCAATTACAACATAGCTCGACTACTGACGTAGAACAGTTTTAAGACAAACACTAGAATTAAATCAACGCAAAGATAAGGCTGTGACATAACTCAAATACTGATGCAGGAGCGTCAAATATGCATGAAGATATTAATAAAATACTATAATAATTATATAAGGAATACAAGATACCAAATATTAATATTGACAAACTTCCAATTATAGACATAATCTAATGGAATACAATTTACCTCTTCAACGTGTTGAGCGTCACCAAGCATGCAGACCTTCATCTTAGGGCGAGGAATGTGTGGCAACTTGACAGAACCACTGAAACGCTTGTCCTTTTGGGGATCATAGTTCTTGAGCCCAATCTGGAGCTCAATGGTCTCAGTGAAGTTCCTTTTCTTTGTCTCCTTCGAATATTGCATAATGGTTGAGATAGCTTCTCTCAATGCATCACTCTGAAGCTTACTGAAAAACAAGACATTTTCACAATATTTAGAGCAGAGATCAGAACAAAAATACTAACAAGAATAACTTAGTATGCCTGAGATGAAATAACACAATGCAGATAGCTACACCTATTAACTGTGTAAACAATATCGCAAAGAAAGCTGAAACAGAATCATTTAAACAAATTCATGAAACAAAATCTAAGTTTCTCACAATAAAAATATAAAAGACGCAAAAGATCACACAAGATTTAAACACAACCAGTCTCCAAAATTTAGGCTGAATATAACACAGAAAATAACCCAACTACTAAAAAATTAACTGCCAGGGAATCGCCTAATAAACTTTTAACAAAGAAAAGCCAATAATTGCAAAAGATATACCCATAACATTAATGTTATATGACATTGGTTTTATAGACATAAATTTCGCCAACAATAACAACAACTTTAACACTAAAACGGTCTATATAATCTCTAGATTTCAAGCTTCGACTATGTTACATGAACATAAAAATAAAACTAATAAACAGCGAAATACAGATAAAAAAATATTACAACGTACCTCATGATTGATTCGCTAAAAGCTCTTCACAGATTTCGCTTCTGCAAACAACAAAAAAGAAAACAAATAAATGAAATGAGAGTTCAAAAAATATAAACAATGAATCAGAGCGAAACCATGACTAAAACTGTAGTTTAATAGTTTTTATGAGCATTTTTTTGGCCAAAATTGGCAGTGCTAAGATCTATACTTTTTCTTTTCGTTTTTCGCCTTGTAGCGTTTTCTCGAGAAACAAACAGAGTTACGGATCTAACGAAAAAGATAGTAACGTACAAAGAAGACAATTAAGCTTGACAGTAGAAGAGAGAGTGGGTATGTTTACCAGAAAGACGATGAAACCCTAAAAGAGGCTGTAATTGAGCGGCGAAGGAGAACTTATATAAGGACGCGATGAGCTCTTTTAAGTCATAAACCCTAGTAGGGTTGACAAGTGACAACACAACCAATTGGGCCGGATTCCACCTAGCCCAATTGATTTGGCTTGGGTTTCATCCCACCCATTCAGAATTACAAATTATAATGGATTGCCACTTGTTCCGTCCATATTCCTTTTTTATTTATTTCTATTTAATTATGATATTATCAATTTAATTTCATTAGAAGGCTAATAGGATAAAAATAAATGGGATTTAATAAAATCTTCCTTTAGATTATAAAAGCTTAATCCAATTTCACAATGAAGTTTTACATATAAATTACAATCATACTATACTTAAACTCTAATCAGTTATTAAATTTAATTATTTTATGATAAGTGAATATTAATATTCATATATATGGTCAAAAAATTATTTATTATTTATATTAATTATCAATTATAATCTTCAGTTTTGTTAAAGTAAAAATAAATATGAAAAAGAGAATCTTAAGCCAATAAAGTGAGATTGTGATATGTATTAGACTTAGACAATTTTATATGCAATAAAGATCGGCTCATAACACAATCTTACAAACTTTTTCTCACAAATCCGATATGACAGTTCGCAATTAGTTAGCTTATAATTGGGCATTTGTAACTCATTTTCGAGCTGATCAATTTCGAGTTGCCATGTCAATGGTTTTGAGAGAAGTTTGTGAGATTGAATTGTAAGTGTAGTATTGTCCATTTATATGATACTTATTGGATGCATTAAATGTATTGTACATAATGTGGATGGAATTTCAAGATACATAACATGTACATGTATGTTTCTCTGTAATGCATGAATATTAAACACACAGCAAAGCCATAAAATTTAGGAAATAAATAGAGATGGGTGTTTCGCCCACCCTGATGAGGATCCACCCTGACCCGACTTGATTGGGACGGGGATTCCTTGAATTTCACGAGTGATGGGTTGGGGATGGACATTAAAAAAAAAAAAAAAATCCTCGCACCCAAGGACGAGGCGGGTATGGGGGTCAGTTTGCCCCAACAAGAACTCACCCCGCCCCACCCTGCCCTCAAAAAGCCCAATAAAACTTGGACTTGTGTCGTCCCTAACCGCCCCATGAAAACCCCGCCCCGTCCTTGTCCCCGCCGGGCCTCGAAATTTAATTTTGATATTCTATATAATATTTTAAAATTTAGTCAGTTAATTCAATACAGTTTAATTACTTAATAATCTAATCACATTGTAATTAAGTAATTAATTACAATTTTATTAAATAATTAATTAATTCCTTAAAGATTTGCAATTTGTAAATTTATCGCAATATTACATAAACTAAGGTAATTGAGTTTCTCTTCTAAGTAAATTATCTAAACTTTAGAAACATTTTAGGAGAAATCTATAATAGAAAAATAAATATCAAATTGCACAAATTCTGTTATCTTTAATTCTAATCAATTAATTATTAATTATTAACATTGTTTTATTTTACACAAATTCTATTATCATGTCTCTCTAATCAATTAATTAGTCATAAACTTTAAAATGTTTTATTACAAATTTGATATCCCCTTACTATATTAATTTTGATGGCTGAGGTTTCCCGGGGAATTAGAGCTTATAACATTATTTGAAAAACGTTCATGTGTGGAAACCTGTTATATATGCATCATAGAGTATTTAAAAGAGTAAGCGACTTCTTCCCACCCAAGGTTTGGCGAAATGGCAAGTTTCCACCCCTAGTTTCATAAATTATAGATTTCTACCCTTAAATTAATACCGTTAGTTTCTCTTAAAATAACCTCTGCATCTCAAATTTCTCTCAAATAAGCCCCATAAGAGATCCCGGCCAAGCCAAAAATCCAGCCTAATTCCGACATTGTTGGACCTCCCTGATAGCACTATCCAATTTTCTGAAACCCAGGCCAGACTTGGCAATCGAACCAGTCTGATCGGTTTACGTTAAGGCTTTCGGTTTACAGGGGGAAAAACCAAGATTTGTTATTGGACCGCCTTGGATCGCGGTTGGATCGATGTTATTGTGTCAAACCACTAGTCTAGCACCAAATCCAGTCTAATAACCCTTAATACAAAAAAACCTTAAAACCAATTTTGTTTACCCATTTGTGATTGCTCCTCCATTCGCGACTTCCTTCAACTTCAACCTCTTTCAGTGTTCACATTTGTCATTGCCATTTGCATTTACTGACGTTGTCTGCGTCTTTCGTCCACATCCGTCGTTTGCCTTGCTGTCTGTGAGCTGCATTCTCGACATCCTTCAACTTCAACCTCTTTAGTCTTCACATCTATCATTGTCGACTGCGTCTGCGAGCTGCTGTCTACTGTCGACCAAGTAACAGATTGTAAGAGCTTCGAGTCATCCTATCTTTCTCTTTCTCGTTTGTTTTTGCTTCTGTTTTTCTGTTTTTGTTTTGTGACTTTTGTCTCTTTTTGGTCTTGTTCTGTTGATGAGTGGGTTGTTTGATTATGAGTTTAACATAGATGAATGATATGTTGTTGTAGAATCTTGATCTATAAGTGTAGAAGTTTGGATAATCTAGATGAAAGTGTAAAACTATTTGTTATAACATGTTAGGGTGCATCAAGAACAACAAAATTCAATCAATTCATGATTAAATAATTGATAGATAGTCTAATTGGTAACAATGAATTACTGTCTTCTTGTGTACAACCCATATGGTTTTGCAGCCCAAGATTCAAATTATATAGCCATTACAATCAGGATGAGTTGACACAATAGTTGTTTGTGGGAAGGTTTTAGTGAAGACAATTGGTTTTTTAAACTTTTTTCGCTTTAGTGTGTCATGACTTGGCAATAAGATGTCTCTCTCAATCAGCTCGTGAACCACTGTATTTCGAATTTGCAGCCCATTGATGATGAATGCTGTTTATATTAGTTGTTTGTTGAATGTGAAATAGTTTGTGTTGGTTGTTGGTTACATAACAAATATATGTTTCTTTTAATCAATCTCAGTATGTTTATTCATAATTGTTTCTTATATATAATATGAATTGATTTTATATTAATTAAAGTTATAAGTTATAGCAAATTGGTTGTTGGTTGTCACTTGCTAAGGGAGATAATGTCACCATCTTCGTTTGCACAAAACTAATCGGCTGCATCCATTTCCTCACAATCTTTTCAAGGAAAGACTAATATAGCATGGGGACATGTTATTGAGGGTATTGATAAAGATGGAAAGAAAATATTATCTTGTCTTCATTGTGGCAAGGTTACTAGAAGGTAGAGATATTTTCTGAATAAAGCAACACTTAGAAGGAGTAAAGGGGGATATTGGAAAGTGCCTAAAGGTTCCATTTGATGTTAGATTCCATATGAATGAAGTACTAACAGAAATAAGGGTAAAGAATAAAGAAAAAGAAGATTTCCAAAAGTATGCAAGTCATTATGGTGCTACGTAACATGAATTTGAGGGTGATAAGTTAGATTAAGAATGTGAAGAGATCTTCCCATCACAAATGACCATGAATGAAGGTAGTAGTGGTGGTGGTAAAAAACAATGTACAAATAGTAGAGAAAGAAACCTATAGGGATAATAATTATTTTACTCCACGAACTACTCTTGGGTCCTAGCTCTCAATTATGAGTGTTTTGGCTGGAAAAGAAGCGAAGTGGAGAGCACACATGGCTGTTTTATGATGGTTGCATCCCGATGAGTGCTTTAAATTCAATTTATTTTCAGCCTATGTTGGATGTTGTTACTGCAATTGGCTTTGGGTATAAACAATCTACTTATGATGTTATCCGTGTGAATTTATTGAGAGATGCTAAGAAAGAAGTGTAATTACTTGTTGACAATTACAAGAGTATAAGGGAAGAGGTTGGATGTACATTAATGGTTGATGGTTGGACTGATACTTTCCATAAGTCATTGATTAATTTTCTCTTATACTGTGCTAAAGGTGTTTGCTTTATAAAATCAGTGGATGCTTCAGATATTGTAAATGATGCCTTTACATTGTTCAAGTTGTTTGAGGATATGACTTTATGGGTTAGACCAACCAATATTGTCCATGTTATCATGGATAATGGAGCAAATTTTAAAGCTGTTGGAAGAATGTTGTTTGAGAAATATGAGAATATTACTTGGTCGCCCTGTGCAACACATTGCATAAATTTAATTTTGAAAGATATAGTTGAGTTAGGTCACATAGTGCATCTTGCAAAACGTGCATCTAAAGTAACCAAGTTTGACTATAATCACACAATCTTGATAGCTTGGTTGAGGAAAAGAGAGATAATAGCTTATAAACCTTTAACTCATGTTCTTATCAATTCATTATATAATAATCATTTTGTAATAATTCACTAACATCTACTATGTATGTATCACTTGAACAAGGTTGGAAAGAAATCATATGACCAAGTGCAACTCGTTTTGCTACTACTTTCATTGCACTAAGAAGTCTCCATGAGCACAAACATGACTTGCAAGCTATGGTGACGAATATATTTTTTGTGGACTCTCGACATGCCAAAAGTAGTAAAGGCAAGGATGTCATTCCCATAATTCTAGATAATGAATTCTAGGATGACATGGGCCAAGTTTCCAAAATTGTGGCTCCTTTGATGTGTTTCTTATGTATTGTAGACTCATATGAGAGGCCTGCAACAGGATATGTGTATGATGGCACGTACAACGCAAAAAAAGCAATCACGAAGTTCTTAAGAATAAAAAGATATTGTACAAGCCTTATACCAGAATTATTAAGCTGCAGTAGGATAGGCTTTTG